CGTCAACGAGCCGTGGGAACTCACGCCCATTGACCTCTTAAAAGATTACTACTGGAAGTCCTACAAGCGCGTTAAGGCCCGTGCGCCGCCAGGCAAATTTGTGCTGCACGACTCGTTCCGGTTCGGTGTCCAGTATTGGTCGCAGTTCATGCGCGGTTGCCCCGATATCGCCCTGGACACCCACATCTACCAGGCTTGGAACGCCCCCGGTACCCGATCAGACTACTTCTCTAATGCCTGTCAGCAAAAGTATATGATTGCCGACATGGAGAACGCTATGATGCCTGTAATTGTTGGTGAATGGTCGCTGGGCACAGACAACTGCGCCATGTGGCTAAATGGCTTCAATGACAATCTGCCGGGTTTCCCTAACATTCAGTGCCGCATGACACAGTGCCCCGTGCACAGCACCTACCTCGGCCAGGGATTCCCCGGCACTCCGTTGGATATTACAAGGCCAATTCAAGGTCCGTACGGCACTGGCCAATCCGGTCCGTCGTTCGGCAAGTGCCCGATCACCAGCAACACGTCGTTTGGCCAGCAAGACGACACCGACGAGCGCGAGTTCACGCGTAACTTGAACATGAAGAAGCTGAATGCATTCGCCGTTGGTCACGGCTGGTACTTCTGGAACTTCAAGACGGAGTTTGGCTCGCGTTGGAACTTCCTGGAGCTGGTTCGTAAGAGCGCTTTTCCCAAGAATGTGTCGAATTATCGCTCCGACGAGGAAGTCTTCTCGGCTTGCCTGGCTGAGGACAAGGGCGCATTCGTCTGTGCGGCAAAGCGTGGAGTTCATCGATCGGACCTCGAGAGCGGCTTGGATTTTGCCTGTGGTGGCGACGATGGCAAGGTGGACTGCACCGACATTGACAAGCGCTTTACTACGATCGAGGAGCGCTGTGACTGGGCGTTCAACGAGTACTGGCATGCTCACCGTGAGGAAGGCGCTACATGTGACTTTGGCGGCGCAGCACACCTTATGACGATCCCCAGTCCGTCTAGCGTCGAGCGTCAGGAATTCCTGACCGCCTCCGTTAGTAAGGAAATCCTTGTCTGGACCCTCGTGTGTGCTGCAGTGGGCTTAAGTGGACTGGCTGTCGTCATGGCTGTCACGCGCCACAGAAGACGGCAAGAATACTCTCCTTTGATCGGCCACGTCGTGAACGTTTGATCCCTAATGACCACATCTTTAAACAAATTGTGCAAGATTGAAAATCGATGGTAGAAGCATCGCGAAGCAATTGACGCCCTTGCAGAATTCAGAATCGCAATGGCAACGAACGGTTGGAAACAATCCGGGTGTCGGATGACTGATACCTGGAGAGTTCTTGGCAACAGCGTTGACGGTTGGAACTCTGACCACGATCATGGACGCCGATTGCTGGGTGCAATATCGCTCAACATGGTGGGCCAAGTTGGACAACACGTACGCGTTAGCTAGCCTAGCTGCTAGGCGGGTTTCTCGATCTGAGGTCCTGAGCAAGTATGGATAGCTTGAACAAAGTGAGAACTCACGTAAACGAAGCTCATAACTGCCTTGGTTGCCTTGTTTTATTATAGCGCTGGACAATGAACCTGATTCTCATTTTCGAAAAGACGCCGTTACCAAGTCGGTCGATGGCGCCAGCTAGCGATCACCATCGAATGTGTCTCATGATCAGATTCGGGCCCAAAGTATCCTTCTCTTTTCCGACCCGTCTACAGTAGACTCTACAAACTTTGGTGTCTGGAGCGCACGCCACTCTACTTCACCATCTACGAGCACCGCTACGGGCCAAAGCGGCGCTGGCCTGCCGCAACGAGACCAGACGCGTGTATGGTGACGCTCAGACTAAGCGCGCATGCGTTGCCTATTATCATTTGGCTAGCAAGCTACTAAAGATATGCCATGTGGCTGCCACACCATGAAGTACTTCAACACGGAAGATCGCAACATGATAGGCTATCACGTAATTTTTCTTATCCCTATCTCATTTCTGGGCTGTCACTCAGAAGGAGCCTTACAAAAATTAAGTCCACCGTACCGTCTAGTTTTGCAATTTTCAGCCATCGTATCTTCGTTAAAGGGTGCAGTCGAATCAGTCGCAAGATCCTCTCTCATTTCCGCATTTGCTCCGAGGTGCGCACTAGACTCTGTATCCAGCTGCCAGCTTCGAATCTGTAGGCAGAATGTTGGTCGGGTCCAGCCTGAAGACAGCGGCAGCGCTCTGTGCGCTTCTGGCGCTGTCGCTGCAGCCGAGCGTTTCCAGCAAGTCCGCCCTGGGCGAGCCCAATTTCCGCCAGTCCATCATCTCCATGGACGTGCCTCAGGACGACTCGCACGACGAGCTCACCGATGCTCCGCCCGCCCCTGAGGCACCAACGGATGCACCGACGTCCAAGCCGAAGTCCGATTCGGGTCCTCACGACACGGAAGACCTGCCTGACTACGAGTGGTACTGGAAACACAGCGAGGCCTCCATGTTCTCGCAGGACAGCGGCATTTTCAAGTCCTTCAAGCCCAACGACACGGACATGACGTGCTCGTTGGACACGCACGCCACGCCCTTCAACAAGCAAGTGCGCGGTGTCAACCTGGGCGGCTGGCTCGTACTGGAGCCGTGGATCACGCCCACGCTCTTCTACCAGTTCCTCAACACCCAGCAGAGATTCGGTGACAAGGCTCCGGGGAAGACAGCCATGGACATGCACACGTTCTGCACGGCACTGGACAAGGAGGAAGCCAACCGTCAACTGCGTATCCACTATGACAACTGGGTCACGGAGAAGGACATCGCCGAGCTGGCTGCTGCAGGCGTCAACTCGCTGCGTGTGCCGGTCGGTGACTGGATGTTCAACCCGTACGAGCCCTTTGCTGGCTGCACGGACGGTGCCGTCGAGGCGCTGGACCGCGTGGCCGACTTGGCTCTCAAGTACGACCTCGAAATCCTTCTGGATATCCACGGCTTGATTGGCTCGCAGAACGGCTTCGACAACAGTGGCAAATCGTCGAATGTCAAGTGGACGTCCATTGCCAGCACGCAGCCTGTGGGCACCACGACGTTCGAGCACTGGCCTATCCGTCAAGCTGAATGGGCTGGTACTTTTGACGTGGAGAACCACAACTACTCGAGCATCAACTACGCCAACCTGAACCACTCCATTGTGGCCGTGGAGGCTATTATCAACCGCTACAAGGGCCACAAGGCTATCATGGGTCTCGAGCCGGTGAACGAGCCATGGGAACTCACTCCTATTAAGGTGTTGAAGCGGTACTACTGGAAGTCCTACAAACGTGTGAAGGTGTTGGCTCCCTCGTGGAAATTCGTCATCCACGACTCGTTCCGCTTCGGTCTGCAGTTCTGGGCCAAGTTCCTCAAGGGCTGCCCCGATATCGCTCTGGACACGCACATCTACCAGGCCTGGAACCCTCCTGGAACGGTTGCAGACTTCTTCTCCAACGCTTGTCAGCAGAAATATGTCATCAGTGACATGGAGAACGCCATGATGCCGGTGATTGTCGGCGAGTGGTCTATTGGCACGGACAATTGCGCCATGTGGCTCAACGGCTTCAACGACAACTTGCCTGGCTTCCCTAAGGTGCAGTGCCACATGATAGACTGCCCGGTCAACAGTACGTACCTCGGCGACGGCTTCCCGGGCACTCCTTTGGACAAGACCAAGCCGATCCAGGGTCCATACGGCACTGGCATGTCTGGTCCGTCCTTCGGTAAGTGTCCCGTTACCAGTCAGGACTCGTTCCACCAAGACGACGACGCGGCGTTGACCAAGTCGCTGACTCTGAAGAAGCTCAATGGCTTCGCTAATGGCCACGGCTGGTACTTCTGGAACTTCAAGACGGAGTTTGCGACCAAGTGGAGCTTCCTGGACCTATGGCGTATGGGCGCCTTCCCCAAGAACGTGTCGGACTACCACGAGAGCGATGGAGTGGAGAGAGCGTGTGTGAAGGAAGACAGAGGCGAGTTCGTCTGCCGTGCCAAGCGTGGAGTCAAGGAGTTCGAGCTCAAGAGCGGCCTTAGTTGTTAAGTCTGCGCTCAACAACGCGGTGCACGAGTACACGCGGCCACGCCGTTCTACTTGAACGGCTTCCGTCACCCCAGAAGGCCTCTCCAACTTCGCGGAGACACTGACTCCTCTATTCTAAGTGGGAGAGGCTCGG